CAAGAATATTTGAAGTTAGATATTAGAAAAATCTTTCTCAGGATGAGGCTAGTAAAACACTGGAACAGGCTTTCCCGAGAGGGGGGGGGCTCTCCCACATTTGAGGGGTTTAAAGAGAGGTGGTGGACTCTCCATCCTTGGAGAATTTAAAGAACTGGGTAGATAAAGCCTTGGTTGGGATGGTGTAGTTGGGGCTGGTCCTGCTTCGAGTTGGACTAGATGTGACCTCCTGAGCTACCTTCCAGCCCTCATTTTCTATGATACTATCAAACCGCCAGGCTGGTGCCAGCTCAGGACAAAGCAGGACTCATAACTGTGACCCAGGCATGAGCCTCCCTGTGATGGGTGGATGGGGAGGGGAGAAGGAGAGAGGAGACATACGTTGGACGGATGTAGTTCGACAGGCCTCCCCGGTGCAGCAGGCGATACTGGTTCTCTGTCTTATTCCTTTCCCAAAGTCCATGCTAAGAAAGGGATTGCGACACACATCAGAGGTGAGACAGGACTTTGTGTAAGTCAGCGTCTTCACTTCCCCTGGAAAAAGGAGGAACACGGCACAGAGTTAACAAACCACACTCGTGACCAAAGGACTTTCCTCCCTGCACTGGCATCATCGCTGCCCTGTTACGGCACGACCTTTCCCTGCATTATATATCAACCATGACACGGTCAGGAGGTCCTGGACTTCACAAGAGGCTTCATCTTGGACCTTTGATTTCTAGGGAAATGGAAGATGTCGGGGTGGGGAAGTAAAGCTATTTAAAAGTACTTCTCACCTACCTAGTGTCATTTCACTTTTGATAATACCGCAGGTATCTTCGCCAGAATGGCAGGTCTCCATGGATCCAGAACAGCTGTCCCCTATCGCATGGCAAACTTCACACTGGAAAGATCTGCCTGGAGGAGGAAAGAGAACCGTCGTCCCTCGAGTGAGCGTTACCCCCATTTCTCCTTCCAGCTCCTCTGCTTCACCACCTGCTGCCTCCCTGCTTCCCTTCTGCATCTCCGGACATCTCCGAGCGCTATTGCAGCCAGCCCACGTGAGCGACAAAGCAGGTGC